AAGGGGGGGAAATCTGCCTCTGCCTCCTAGCAATTTGCCTCCTTGCAGCAAACAGAAAACAGCCCATTTCAGTTTCATTTTCAGCACACCCTGATTAGTACAAGCAGCTGATTGTGGGATCGGCCTCCCACTATCAGCTGTTTCAGGCTGGAGGGATTGCCATAGCCTATTGCTGCCTCCGCACGCCCCATTCCGTTTTCAGCCTCCGCACGCTGTTTTTGGCCTCGGTGTGTCCCATTTTCCACCTGTTTCAGGCGGCGGGGATCAGAATGGGTGCGAAATGGGGTATGTGGAGGTTGAAAACGGGGCACGCAGAGGCCAAAAATGGGGTGCACGGAGGTGGCAATAGGCAATGGCAATCCCTGAGCCTGAAACAGCTGATAGTTGGGAGGTTGATCCAACCAACAATCAGCTGCTAATCAGACTATGCTGAAGCTAAAACTGAAACAGGCTGTTTACTGTTTGCTGCAAGGAGGCAAATTGCTGGGAGGCAGAGGCCAAAGGGTGGGCAGGGCTACATTTGGTATATAAGACACCCAAATTTCCACCCTCTTTTTTGGGGGGAGTGCATCTTATACTCCAAAAATTACGGTATTTTATTTCTTTATCTGATTTGTTTTAGTGGTTTACTTAGGCTTATATTGGGAGTTGAGGGTCAGGGAGGGGGGGATTTCAGATAGAGGCATTTTTGTAGCCAAAACGAAATACTTTTATCTTGGGAAGCAAGGACATTCTCACTCTTGATTGGAAGAAAGCAGAGTGACTCCACCCGGTGATTGGACCATGCGATTGATTGTTTTGAGAAAGTAGAAAACCTTTTAACTTTAATAAGGTGAAAACCGTGGGAGATTTCAGAGTCGGTTCTCGCCAGATAGGTGCCAATACGATATTTCCAATAAAAGTAATCTTTTGAGGAGTTCAATTGCCTCGGAGCCTTGCTTGCAATGGATGTATTACTCTGAACTCTTAACATGTTGCTTCAAAAGTCTCATTTAAGAGACCCAGACTCTTCTCTTTGTGTCTAGCATCGGAACCAGAGGAAAAATCTGGGCGTTGCAGCGATACTGTGGACACGGGGAACGGCGGACCAAGTTCAGTCGAAAGGACACAATTGAGCAGCCGCGTCGTTACTGTGCTGAAAGAAAAACCTTCCCCAGAACTCAGCCTGGCTAGTCAGGATTTAGAGGTGGGTAAATGCAGACTGATTTTTCCCTACTAGCATTTGAGCTAGAAAAAGAGCATTTCTAAAATCCCTTTGTTTTCTGCCGCAGCTGGTTTGCAAAGAAGATTCAGAAGCTCTTTGCCAGGCCCTGCGCTGGGACAAACACAAGACCGAAACCTTAAAGGAAGCGTGTGGGCAGGAGCTTTCAAGGCGACTGCAACAATTTCGCTCTCTAAATTCACTGAGGAGCATCTCCAAAGGAAAGAAAAAACAGCCAGAACCTGGGGAACAGTCGAGTTCTAAACGCAGGAAGTAAAAAGCTCTGGGAGTCGGGAATTTTTGATGGATTAATCACCTTTTTGGTTTTCCTGAAGGGTAATGTTGTTTTGACTGAGGCTTCCCAAGAGCGTGAAGCAAACTCCTTGTCCTGACAAAAACCCTTTTTTATTAATTGACACTGAATTCTGCTCATTCCCATTCAGCAAAGTCTTTCAAGGGAGGATTTACAGTCACAGACCTTATCTGGCTTGGAGAGCTGCCAGGCCGAGATCTACAAAACTTGGCAAGGCGTCTCAGAGAATCACGAACCAATGAAGCAAACTAATTGTCTCCTGCACTCCCCTTTCGCTCTTTTATCTCCTCTGGGAGGGGCCATTCATCGTCCACCTGTGGCCTTACTCCCAAGTCGACCCCTGTTCTTTAGCTGTTCCCTTCATCTGGCAATTCTGTGCATGCGCAGACTGGGAACAGGCTCCAGCTGTTCTTCTGCCCCACTGATGTCCGCCTCTGAAAGCAGCTGATATCTGTCAGATGGCCCTGGCCCATCTCTGCCTCAGAGCCCTCATCAGAGCCTTCCCCAGACTCCAGGACTGGCCCATGTTCCTCCCCAACCTCCTCACTGTCTTTGTCTCTGCTGATGGGCCACAAGACTTACTGACTTAACAACTGTGGTGATTCGCTTAACAACGGTGGCAGGAAATGTGGTAAAATGGGGTGATGCTTCCTTAACAACCAATCTAATTGTGACCTACGTAACAACCAGTATTTTACAACTGGCGTTCTGGGCTCAGTTATGATTGTAAGTCAAGGATCACCTGTATAAAACCATCATGGCATTAGTATATCTTTTGTAAAGAGTTTGTGGTCTACTAAATGCTAGTCTGAGGTATAGGGAGAGAGACTTCTGTTTAATTAAAGAACTGCATCTAGCGGAGAAAACTGAGCAGAAAGCAATGTCTTTTGGAGGATATCCTAACTGCAAGGCTGTTTGGTGCCGTGCGGTGGCCTAGAGGTGGAGCTCTTGCCTCACAATCAGGAGGCTGTGAGTTCAATCCTAGG